GTTACAATTAGATAAAATAAATGAAATTTTTTTTGAGGCAGTCTATTTGACCAATGACCTATGTTTTGCTTTTTGAGGGTGAAATGTTGACCCTCTCTAAGCGCTCGTACTTCAGACAAGGTAAGACAAATTTGGTACAGAAACCAGTCAGTCGCAATGCAGAAACTCCGATTCATGTACAATATATAGCTTGTGTTATGATTGGAATTGCAAAGCGAATAATTTCTCTCCTAACCAGCTCAATTTTTAGAATTTCTTACAGTTCGCAGGAATATTTAAATTTTTTTAATCGCTTCCTTAAATTTTTACTTCCAAAACTCGGTTTCTTTAAAAAGCTTAGCCCTTCTTTCCTTAGGCTTCTTTAGTTTGCGTTAGTATGATGTAGCTGCTAAAAATAGAATGTCGAGAATGTGACTGCTATGGTGAAACGGTATTTATTGTAGGACTAAAATTCTGTTTTTAACTTTTCTTCTCAACTGATTTCTTGGGTCTTGAATTTTAAAATAGATGCAAAGTGTAGCTGAAATCACGTTTCACTTCATTGATCCGGTAACCTGTATCCAAAGATGCAGTTTTTTCAAACAGTAAAGGAAACAACAAACGACTGGTAAAGCGGAGAGGCAAAATAGCAACAAAAGTTGAAAAAAAATGTCCAAAAATCTGCTTAATAGTTTTAAATTTCCCCACCTTTAGCAGTTCACTTTTTTTTTTCGACTTCAATTGGCAAAAAAATTTGATTATTAAATTCTTTTTGTTTTGAGGTCCTCACAATGAATTAAACTTGAATTTTTCAGTTGCCCAGTGAAGTGGGCTAAGAATTTTTAAAAAGCAGGTTTTTAACCGTTGCTACTGATCTACTACAAAGGCTGTGTTCAGACATCATTGAGCAGCAATAAATTTGCTAAGAGGTGAATAGAAATGGTATTGATCTGTTAAAGTTGTTGTACTCTGCTTTCTCGTAAAAGACACAAGCGCTTCTTTAATTCCATCAATGAAAGATGAAATTTTTGCTGAAATGATGGACATTCACCATGCTTATTTTAAAAAAAAAATTTGCCAATGTCTCAGCATTTTCTGCTCATCCACAGAAAAACAATAATTATAAAACTGTTAAAATGTTCTTCTAGCACTGCTGTCAGAAACAGTGATTACAAATTAAACCTAAGAATATTTCTGAAAGAAAAAAAAATTCTGTTCTATCACATATGCTCGAGCTGTTAAAAAGAGATTTTTTTGTTAATTGTGTCACCAAATGGTCAAAGAGCTTTTTTTTTTTTTCGAACATTCAAAAAATTATAAGTAATCTTTTTGAAAACTATTTGTAATAATAAAGCCATTTTTTCTTCAATTATTTTAGACGTAAATTTTAACTGGCGTTCCGAAAACTATATAAAAAGATTATAAAAATTTTAGCTTTTTTTTTTTTTGCCGATAAAATAAATTCATTTTTTTTCACCACTTTTAATTTCCATTTAAAATCAAAATAGATTTCATTTGTTTATTTATATGCTTGTCGGTGAAATCAGATAATCGTAGTTTGCCTACAACATCTTCATAATTGTGGTTAAAACTGTTGCCTGTATAAATTAAAAGAATTTTTTTCCCATTCAATTCATTTAAGATACAGTTCATGATTTACAGAAAAATTTTTTTTGTTAAAAAATCTTTAAAATACAGATGACATCTTTAACGGATTTTAAATGCCAATTACTGAAGTAGCAAGAATAAAAAAAAAACTTGCTTGAAAGTCTAATTTTTTTTATTGCTTCAAAAGCTGTGACTGCAGAAAATGACAGCTTTTTTTATCCCCAATTTTTTTTTTTTTTTTGACTGTGATAGGGGACAAAAAAGTTGCGAGAAAATGATATCTTAATAATGATATGTTAAACCAATGTCATTATTATTAAGCAAAGATAAATACGTTCATTTCGCATAAACTTTATAAACTGTTAACCGTAGTTTAGTGTTCATATAAAAATTTTAGCATCAGCAAATATGTTAAAATAAAGTCAACCGTGATGGATGTCTATTAAAACGGTCCGTCGACTTCAGAGATAAAACTGATGTCTTTTCTTTTTCACTTGTTAACTGTAAAAAAAAAAAACTCATTTAATCCTTCAAAAAAAAAA